TGAATGACATGACTGCACCACGGGTTCAGTGACCCCCAAAGAGGCTATGGAAGAAAGTCAGGCAGGTCATCAACCTGGATAAGAAAACACGAGCGAGTTATTACTCTCCCACGCCAAGAAGAAAGTCAGCATGTCCTCCCGTTACGGACGGAGGCCACAAACTACTGTGGGCGCATGAGCGGTGCCCACGAACCTGTCACCCGCCAGAATCCGGTATTCTCACACGTTACAACTGCCGCAGACATCTAGAAGCATTGTTCATGCTCATCACGACTCCGAAAGGATAGTCGTTATTTGGGTCCCTGTTAGATTTTTTAGTTAATACTTAAATAAACATGTATGTGTGCTATGTAAAAATCCTTTTTATTATCTTCGATTTAGCTTTGACATAATTTGAAGCTAATCCTTTCTAATCCTAGGTATGCCTGTACAACATTCTTCCAAGAAGGGGTCCGGAGATCTCAGGCTGACAAAGGGGCTCCCAGCAAGAACCCTGCTGTGGTCCTGCCTCCGCCTGCCCTGAGGCCTCACACCCCCTCTCAGCCAGCTCAGGGAAGCAGACAGCTCCCAGGGCATGTGTTCAACGCAGGGCTTCCTCACCAGGAGCTCTCTTCTGATCCTCAGTGGGCACCCCCTTCCTTCTGCCCACCTAAGTCAGGGTCTTCACCATCTAGTTCACCCCACTCTGACCAGGCTGGGGCTAGAGAGTGCTTCTTGCCAATAGTTAAGGAGACGCTCTCGAGGCTGTGTAATTCGGAGCCAGCCCTTACATGCCCCCTTAAATTATGTGCCCTGGTGGCCTCCTGACTCACCCCAGTTCAGGCCCCGGTATAACCAAATATGCTCCCAGTTTAAGCAAAGCTCTTGAAAACACCCCACTCAGCTTTCTTAGGAAGTCATTACTCTCCAGCCTGGCTCCCGTAAGAATCACCTGGGGAGCTCTTTAAAAACCTGAAGTTCAGGCTGCACCCCTGACGAATTAAATGAGCATTTCTGGCAGTGAGCCAGGCACCTGTATTTTTTATTTTGCATTTGAAGTTCTCTAGATGATTGTCAACTGCAGAAGAGGCTGGGAACGAGGGCTTGAGGAAAAGGGCTGCTGTGAAAGCCGTCAGGAGCTCCAGATTGAATCTGGACTCCAATTGCTTAGCTGACAGAGTAACAAGCGATTAAGACTCACTGCCATGCATGAGCACCGTCTCCTCACTCACCCCACAAGCATGCTCTGAGTGCCCACAATGCCCTGCAGTGCAGGGCTGCCAGGTCCTCCTGGCCCTCGGCTGAGCTTGCAAACTACTGTGGAAGACAGCCCCCAAATATGGCAAACCTGTAAAGGCACGATTGCAAGCTCTTACCAGTGCTATGTGGGACAGATGCTGAGAGAGAATAACAAGAGGGGGAGGCGGTCAGCATTACCTAACTGGCCGTCCAAGGACCACCTGAGTCCCAAGGGACCGATACTTTTGTTTTGACCTAAAATTTACTCCCGATTAGGCACTTTATAAATCTGAAAGGGTAGGCAGTAACTTATAGAAAAGTGATAGCTTGCAAATGAATTTCATCTTAGAATTAGTACAATAACCATGTTACAACTACATTTTCCTGCATAACATTAATAACTTTTGTATGTAATTTAGCCATCTTATTCCAGCACTGTCTTTCCATGTCTATTAATACTTCTGGCTCTTCTTTCTTGAACCAGCACCACTATCTGCTCACTCCTGCATGAATTACTACACTTGGCAGAACAGAAGCCACCTTAGATGGGATGGGAGGGACAGTCTCTGGATCCTGAAGGATGAGCACAAGCTGTGGGAAGGAGAGCGAGCAGAACAGAGCGCTCAGAAACAAAGACCTGGAGATAACAAGGGCATGCCTTCTGCAGCAGGAAAAAAATGCCCAGAAATGGGTGAAGGCCGGTAAAGCTGGGGGACAGGTCGAAACAAGAACAGAGATGACAAGATGCAGGTCAGCACAGGGACTCTGAATTAGGTACTAAGTACAACAAGCAAACCAGTGCAGGGCTTTGAGGATACAGTCATCTGACGCTCATTTCAAAAAGATGGCTCTGCTGCGTGGAAAAACAGGCTGCAGTAAAGAACGGAGGCCAGGGAAGCATTGTGACAAAAGCACTGTGCTGTTCTGAAGAGTGGCTGACAGGGCCTCGCTGGCAGAGGCAGAGAGGCAGAGGGAGTGGGCAATAAGACTGAAGCCACAAAGCCAGAACTTCTGATGGGTTGTATCAGAGAGTGAGGAAAAAGCAGGAATCAAGGCTGACTTCTAGGTTCCTGGCTTGAGCAACTAACTGTAGATGGTGGTGGCGACTGCTGAAGGGGTCTCGAGGTTAGCAGCCACAAATGCACGCGAATACACCTCACTCGTGAAGTAAGGGTGTGACACTTACAAAAAATAAGGGTGGAATCACAAAGCCCTGGGTGCAATCAGGGCTAACCTAGCCTTTCAGACCAGATCCCCAGAGAACATTCTCTTTGGCCATCAAGGTCTGTGTCATTAAACACTAAGCCAAAGAATTTCAAGCAACAAATTAGAGAATTCTTAATGGCAGCTCAAGGTCTAGCCCAGTCTTGTCCTCATTCTCACTCAACATATGTTAACTGCAAATAACTTTTACTTCAAAAATCTTTAAATGAAGGAAGAAAATTCAAAATTAACTATGAGTATAATACTATCTCAGCGGTAAACGGCAGCATCAGTGTTTGCAAAATACAACTGAAGAAGTCTTATATTTGTGAAAATGTGTTAATCCTTTATTCAAGTGATAATTTAGACAATCATTCCCCCTTCTTCCCCTGGAAATTAAGATCTGGCCACAGATCAGGTAAAAGACTTCAGTCTAACTTAAAATAAGCAACACGAGTGTTAGAAGTTTATTTATGGATACAACAAAGCATCTGTAACTCTATCTGGAGATAAAGTTGGAAGATATTATGATAAAGTCTAATGACTCTCATGATGGAATGAAAACTGTCAGTGACAACCACACATCCAATGTGAAGTAACTTGAAACTAATCAAAGCAAGTGACTTACAGCAGAGGCAGTCATGTCATGTAGAGATAAACGCCAAGCCTGCCACTGAAACAATGCTCCTTCCAGAAATCAATTCCAAAGAACTAATTATATAATACCAAGGGAGGCCTTCAGGTCAGATTTTTTTCCCCCATTCAGAAACTCCTCCATGATTACAGATCACAATTAGCACCTTATTAAACAGAAAGAATAATGGAGAAGAGGCCACTGTGCATAGTAATGAAGAGCAGGGGAACTGGAGGCTGTGCTCCTGGCTCCAAATTCTATTAACCTTGGTCCTTGGGCAAATTACTCAATCCCCTAAACTTCAATTTCCACATCTGTAAGTTAGGGCAACATCAATCCACATTAGAGACTTGGACGTCTCCCCTCCTAGCAGGCACACAAGGGAATACCATCTCCCCAGTCAACTCTGAAGTTCAGTAGAACCACATGACATGTTTCAGCGATGCATTGTGAGCAGCAGAAACGTGAATCACACCCAGGCTCAAGCATTTACCTGCTAGAGTGAGAAATTCCAGTTGTGGCAAATGTGGGAACAGGTACCGTTGGAGGATCACAAGATGAAACAGCCAAGATCACAGAGGCATCAGCACCACATGGAGGGTAGCGGCCCTCAGGGGTCCCCGTGCACCACTGCAGAGCAGGAGGCCAACCTCTGTTTTGTTAAGGCACTACAATTTCAACCATGTTTGTCATCACAGCTTATCCTGGGCAACTGACAGTGCCCAAAGTAGCAGAATGTTGGGAGGCCTAAATGAGACAGTACCTGGCACACACTAAGCTTAATAAAGATTAGCAGGATGATGGCAGCCCCCGACGGGGAGTGTGAAAGAGCTTTGTTTCCCCAGGATCAAGCTCTCAGAATCTTCTCAGCTATCTGGAGTTACACAGGTTTGCCAGAGACTAACCATAAATCCAGAAAATTCCTCCTCCCACCCAAGTCTACCAGAGATGGCACCAGATAGGTGAAGGCAGTTCAGTGATGTTCATCTCAAAATGAGGACAAGGAGGAAGTCCGAACATAGCTGTGTGGACACATGAAAGTCATTTGGATCTGAGCGAATTAACAGAAGACCTCAGCACGCCCCCTGAATCCCCTTCTTCATCCAGAGTTGTAAAGCCCATACTGAGGCAGTTTCATGGTGCGAGGGCCAGGGGCTTTGCTTTTCACAAAAGCACAGTGTGCAAAGTGCGCCAGAGCACATCGGAAGGAGGTAGCGATGGCAAAGTAAGAAAACGTTAGATCAAAACTTTGAGAAGATAACTTCATTCTGCCAAAATACTGGTACTTGATAGTCATCCAAACAGCTTCAGGGATTGGAGAATTAAAGGACGGTCGCATCTGATATGACTGGCAGGGATGGCGGGGAGCAAAAAGGGGCAGCTCCCTTCAACTCTCCCAGTCACTCATCCCCTGTCCCGAACAGAGCCTTCGCTGAAATTCAAGATACCTCTAGAAGAAAATTAACCTGACAGTTAGTGTTTTGCCACAGGCTCTAGAATTCCTGTCCCAGTCTCTCCCCGCTAAAGAACAAAACCTATTTTCTTTTATTATTTAAATTTTATTTTTATGTTCCCCATACAATTACAACCCCCTTATTTTGACCCCAATCCCTCCTTTCCCTGCCCCCCACCCCCCATAGAGTGTCTCTGGTTCACAGTTGTTTGTTGATTTTGATATTTTCTTTCTTGAGAACAAAACCTATTTTAACTGCAAGTCCGTTAAAAGGAGCTAATCTCAGGTCACTGTCTGAATTTTTTTTCCATTTGGAAAAGAAAAAAAAAAACTAAACTACCTGCTAAATTTTCTTATTTTATAGAAAAGTAGGAATAAGCAAGGAGAGAGTCCACAAAAGCTTATAGAACATGCCCTAAACCTACTGAGAATGGTCCTCATAAGCCAGAAACCTGTCATGGACAATAAAATGCATAAATGTGAGCGACTTACCACATTTAATACTCTCTAACCGCACAGGGAGGCCAGACTGTGCTGCAGCAATTAATTTCAAGGCAACGTAAAACTGTGTTGGACCAAAATATCCAACCCGCTTCGCACCACACAGTTCTGTGATCTAAAAACAAACAAGAAAAACGATGCTGAAAACTCCATTTCATAACAGGAAAATGAGACAAGCTAGATCGTGAAATCTCAAGGATCTCACAGGTTAGCTAACCCAAGAGTTCCTGGAAAACCACAGTATACAAGTATGGGCTGGCTCCTTGCTCCACCAGTTCACAGGAAGGTTTTCAATTTGGCTACTTAAATACTACCAAGAAAAAGAGAGCAAAGATGGTTGTTACTCTTCTTACAGAGGAGAATGACTTTTTCAGGGGGTGGGGTAAAATGTACAAAGTCTAGAAAGTCACTGGGGTGAAAAGAGGATGGATTAGTCATTACCAGGACTTGTAGATTATCCCAGGTGATCAAAATTCAAAGCGAATTATTTTTCAAGTTGTCAGGCAAAACGATTTCCTAAGCATTAAAATTACATTCCAAATCCTATTGGCAGTTAAATATTCACTGACTTTTTGAAAGTTATTTCAAAGTAACAGATACCGGAAAATTCAAATAATAGTGAGTAAGGTTAAAGAACTAAAAACTAAAAAGTACTCCCCCCAGTTCCTTTGCCCCAGAGGAAAAAATTTATTCTTCTAGCGGTGTCCTATGCATACATACAGCACACACGTGTTTTTCCTGTTTATGCAACACTTTATACAAATAAAATACCGTGTATTATTTTGTGACTTGCTTCTCACTTGGCATTATCCCTTGAATATTTTCTCCATCCACGCAGTTAAAATTACCACATCCTTTTAACAAATGCACGATGCTCTGCTACAAAAACACACCATGGGTTTTGTTTTTAAGTTGGACTTTATGGATGGACTTTTAGACTTCCAATAGCGGGATATCAGAAGCACTTTCAGAACAATCTATAAACCACCATTTAACTAGTCTTAAGAAAACGGCTATAAAAATTCCACTGGGATGTCAGAAAAAAATGGTGGAATAAGGGCCTCCAAAAATTCCTCCATCACAGCAGTAAGAAAACTGGGTTAAATAATCAGAAGTCTGGAAATTAACCCAAGGCTTGCAACCCAAATTAACCCAAGGTTGAGCGCAGATGTGTCTCTGCCGCGCCTGCCCGTCCACGTGTCGTTCATTGCCCCCAAGTGTTCTCAGGCGAGTTTATTCAAATGTCTGTAAATGTTCATCCCAGGATACCTGGGCCTGGACTTGCTTCCAAAGGAAAGGGAAGAGCGGGGAGGGGGAAGCCTGCGTGAAACAAGTATGATCAAGAGCTGAGAATCGCTGAAACTGGGGGATAAGTTCACGGGGGTTCATTCGCCGACTTTGAACTCTTGTATGCGTCAAAAATTCTCCATATCCAAGTTTCTTCACGTCTCACATTATAATAATCTGTTTATTGCTGACCCCCATTAAAATGTCTCCTCTCCCAGGGCAAGGGAAAACTTCCATTCATCTCCCAGCACAGAACAGGCGCCAGGAGACAGTAACTTCTCAATCAGGTTGATGTAAACAACCCTCAGGAAGAAAAGATAACTGAGTTTTACAATGCATCCCTTAATGTAAATCAATAAATTATACATCTTAAGGTACAGGCTTGCCTGTAGATGAGGGAAAAAAACACCAACGGCATCCATGTAATTCCAATACTAATATAGTTGTCTTGCAGACAACCTAGTATCAAGAAATTGTAATCCTTGGTATGTGAACACTTTAACAAGTATTATATATTGCAGTCTGTTCATTGAGTACCAAGTTAAAATTCAGTTACTCCTTTACAGAACTACCACACCAACCTGGAAACCACTTAACTAAAGATGGCTGAAACTGCTGCTTAAATATTCACGCCCGAACTCAGAGACTAATGCCCTTGGCCAGCATGAGTAAACCCCCTGCTAACCTTGGAACCTGCGCTTTGCTACCATCCGCCAAGAGAATCACCACTCTGCGGCCAACAGAGAAAATACACACACAAGCGAGGAAGCCCACAGGTCACTTTTCATGCTCATTGTACACAGACCCGGCAGTACAAAGAGCCGTGCCAAGAACTTTCTAAAATATTCAAGCTTCAAGGAAGATAAAGTGATTATAAGTCTTTGGCACTTACCTAAGGGAGCAAGCTTAAGAGTTCTCAATCCAAAAATCAGGTTTCATTTGTAAGGCTGTTTTGTTTATCCAGATTCAAAACGTTCTAAGTCTAAATTCTCCATGAAAGAGCTCTACACAGTGGGCAGACGTGTTTTAACGCAATCTAAAGAGAATCAGGTGGCGGTTTAGGCCAGCTCCTCATCAGCAGGAGGTATTTACATAATTGTTCCTTCAAACAGTCCAAGTTGCCAAGCTTCGCTCAAAATAAAGAAAAAATGAAAAGATTTCACACCTCTTCCTTAGTCTCAACTCCAAACCTTAACACTCTCAGCTGGCTCCATCTTAGGGTCCCCACTGAGCAAACTTCTAGTACAGAACAAGAACCTATGGACTAGGATTTGTTTTCTCAGGTGGAAGGAGAGATGAGGGGAAAGGAATGGATGAAATCAACTTTCTTACAGCTTCCAGATGTGCACTGAACAGTTGGGGTGCTGGATATGAATAAGAAAAATTCACCGGCCATTTGGGAGGATCCTGGATAAAGTTCTGGAAGAAGATTGAAGATCACTAAAATACCTTCCCTCCTACCTAATTCGAAACGATGAAGTGACTGTGCTGAGTAATCAGCCTGAGCACCCTCCAGTTTGCCTGAAATAATACTTTCTTTCCTGGTTGAAATGTAATAAATTATCAGAACTGTTCAAAGGTTTAAATAAGCTTCTCTCTTCCAAGTATTTTTAAAGACTTCCTTAGAAAGATTTAAAAATGTACAAAGTCTTGGTGGGAGAGTTGGAAGAATTCCCCCGGAGCACCGGGGGAGCGCCGTTCTGTTCTGCCTCTGCTGCAGCTGCAAAGTTCAAATGCTCTGCTCTCCTCTCTGCGGCTTCCACCCCTGCCCCCAGACGCACACGTGTCCGCCTCCCCATCCCCTCCAGGATGGCTGATTGAAACAAGAGGCCCACCCCATACACGCACCTCAAAATGGCTTCTAAGGGCTCCTCACAGCCTTGCCTGTGGAACCCAGAGCCCCAAGCGTGGCTACCAAGACATGCCCATCTGGCCCAGACTGCCTTTCCAAGGACCCCATGAAGTCTCTCCGCCCCTATCAGTCATGCCAGATGCCAACTCATCTCTCAATTCCCAAGTGTCCCCTGCCTGGAAGCCAGGTGTCTCCCTTCTTCCTTACCCAGTAGGCTCATTCTTCAGATCACCTCAAGACCAACCTTTTTTTTTTTTAAAGATTTATTTATTTATGCATACAAGAGCTGGGGTACAGGCCAGAGATGTGGGGGGTGAGAGGATCCACCAGAGACAGAGCGGGGAGCAGAACAGGCAGACTGACTGAAATACACCGCTGAGGGGAGCAGCGGGCGAGACAGGAGAGGTCTGCTGTGCCATGTGGGTTGCTCCCTGGCCGGCCGGGGATCGAACTCATGCTGCAGAGGCTGCGGATTGCTTCATAGTGCTGTGCTTAACCCCTTGTGCCACCAGGGAGGCCTCCCAACCTTATTTTTAAAACCTCAGTCAGTTCCATTTGACATGTGTTCTGCATTCCCATAATCCTTTTCACTAGCTTTCTATCACATCCCTATCCTTGTAACAGCAAAAATCGATGTTAGTCATTGTTCCCATTGTAGCTCATCTCCCTTCTCTGTCCCCCCAAGTGCCCAGCAAAAGGCAAGAGCGTATCTTCATCATGTGTATCCCCCAGGACTCATACTTTATGATGCTTGCTATATATTCTGTTGCTCAGTGAATGTTTGTTGAATTAATTAGTTTTTGCAGCCTGCTGTAGCAGAATCGTTCTTCTTTCTCTCATCTTGTAATTACCTTTACAAGTGGCTGCTAAAGTGGCTTCAGTCATCTCACCCTACATAGCCATCAGAATTCCTGCAGGAAGACAGCAGAATTATTCCGTCTGTCCCCTCCCTGTTCAGCTAGGAGGGTAATGACTGGGTCACAGTGGGAGGAAAGGCCCCGGCATGCTTTCTCCTGGCACGCTGCCTCATAACCACTTTCTCAGTGGCGCTTCAGAGAGGCACTGCAGGCGGCTTCCTCCAAGCCTCCTTCCATTCAGCATCCCCAAGGGGATGTCATTCTCCAAGTAGACAACCACAACGTGAGGAAATATGGGAGAGAATTTGACGCTCGTGCTTATACATTCTCAGGAAACAGCTGAGGTCAGGACAACTCCATGTGGGCTTTGCTCTTCCTATTCATCTATATGGTCTAAAAATCAAGTGGGGTTCAATCCAGAAGGAACCAGGTGAGCCACCCAAGAAAACCTGAACCCCATATCCAAATATCCAACATGAGGCTACCACAGTATTACAAGCCACCACACCGAGGAAGAGAACAGATGTGCGGTGCTGGTCAGGGCTCCAGACAGAAGCCTACTAACCCATGAAGTACTTACTAGTTGAAAACACACTGGGCGCCTCCCCCACCGAAGGCACTGTGCTCAGGGCTATGCTGGGAAGTGAGCTCCAAGCACACCTAACTCTCACTGTTGCTCTCTCGACCCCTCTCCCTCCCATTTTGCTAAACCCTGTGAACAAGCAGATTACAGACCTTATGACACATCACCCCCCTTAATACCTTATTATTCACCTCCCAAGAACAGGGATTCTCCCACACTGCCACCCCTTCATTACCACACCTAAGGAAATGAACATTAATACAGCATTATCATACAACGTAAGCCCATACTCACGTTTCAGTTGTCCTAAAAATGGCCTACAGAATCGGATTTTCTTTTTCTGGTCCAGGATTTAATTAATGTTCACACACCGCATTTTTATCTTGTATCTTCTTGGTTTTCTCCCTAATCTAGAGCATCCCCCTCAGTTCTTCATGACACCAAATGCTTTCAAGAGTTCAGGCCAGCTGTCCTGCAGAATGTTCCACATTTTGGGTCTATTTCCTTATGACAACACTCCAGTCAAACATTTCGGG